TTCTGATAACCATTGATAACCAACACTCCAAAAACTTACGTACCTATGGACAGTATGAATAATAAATAACGTTAGTCAATGCCATGAGAACACTTCAACCGACGATAAAACAACTCACTACTAATCTTCCCTCCCCCATGACGTCATTTACCTTGAGCTTTTTGTCATGGCTCATGCTTTATCGCATTTTTTTTTTTTATTTGAGCCTAAGAGTGATAACCTTTTATCCCTGGAGTTGGCTTGACGTAAGAGGGTGTGTTCGTGCGTGCGTTTTTGTTTACATCGGGAGCGCCTGTCAAGTACGGTACGACGGTACGGTACTACGGTATGGTAGGCCATCTGTGTGTGAACAATTGCTATAACATAAAACATAGGCCATCTGTGCGTGAACAATTGCTATAACATAAAACATAGGCCATCTGTGTGTGAACAATTGCTATAACATAAAACATAGGCCATCTGTGTATGAACAATTGCTATAACATAAAACATAGGCCATCTGTGTATGAACAATTGCTATAACATAAAACATAGGCCATCTGTGTGTGAACAATTGCTATAACATAAAAACATAGGCTATAACATAACATAAAACCTAGGCCAGAATGAAAAAAATCTAAGACAGTGGTTTGGTTCACACGCTCTTAATTGAATAAAATGAGTTGAATTGACTGAATAAAATAAAACTATAATATAACTGAATAAAATAAAACTATAATATAATTGAATAAAATAAAACTATAATATAATTGAATAAAATAAATATAATAAAGTATAATTGAATAAAATAAAGCTCCCATTGTAACCTATTTTGGTACTATACATTGGTACTACATGTATTTTTTTTCATGTTTTGCTGCTGTCATATTATGAGATTAATATATATTTTTTTTTATTATTATATGAAAGATATTTTAGGAGCCGTTAAGTAAATTAGAGTAAGGTAGAACAGCAAATATGTGTTGGTGTTTGCATACAAAAAGGCGAATATTCACTGGGTGAGGCTTGAGTTTAGGCAAATTAATTAAAGATTGGACATGGCACTGATAATACACTGACCTCTCTTGATCTCTTTTATATATATCTAAAAATGAATTTTATCTCGTCTAACTTTCCCTTCCCCAATCTAATCTTGAATATGGAGCTCATAAAGATTACTGACTTTCGCCATTACGTTTTCCTTAATGTCAGAATTTTTTCTTGTCTGATTTTCTGGTCATTTCCAGATCTAGAGATGGATATGAATCTCATATAGATTATTCTAAATCGACTAGTACATTGTTTTCTTATTTGCACAACCTCTAATAATTAAATTAAAAAAAAAATCATTACGCAAAAAAAAAACATCCGTAGAAATTAAGATATCCAAATATTGCCATTTTATTCCACAAATGTTCCCTTGAATTATTATTTAAATCCGCTCTTTTGGGAAGTCCTAAAAAATACCCTACTTTAGAAATCCACTGATGAAAAATTCATAAACTTTTGGAGTTGCATAATCAAGTTTTTTATAATTTATGAAGAAAAAAACTGATTATGGCCTGCTTTTTGCTATAATCTTATCGCTTCTATTGTTGCAAATGATACGGGATACTAAAAATATATATGATAAATAAAATAAAATATAAATAAATATAAGCATACCTAAATGGCAGTAATGCATTTTCGTTCGATCTATCATTATTAAATTAATTGTCAAATTAATATTAAAAGTTAAATGCAAATATCACGAAACAAACTTATTGTCATAAAACACTAAAAATGTTAAACAATACCGGAAATTAGATTCTGAAGATAAAAGTATAATATAAGATTAACGAGATATAATACATACATATGTATAGCGAGTTGTTGATTTTTTTTTTTTTTGCGAGATCTAATATTTTCCTTTCCGGACTAAAACTGCTCTTAATGTATCCTATGAATTGATGTGAGCTATAGTATTTTTTCTCTCTCAAATCTTGATCTTTACCGATTGAAAATACTTATTTGAGAAGGTTCTTAAAAATCTAAATGAAACGAACAATTATTAATCATGCGCAGGGGTTTTTATTTGAACGCCCGGGGAAATGCAAAACTGATCTCTTAAAAACAAGGAAAACTTTGAATTATCAATACAGACAAATTATGAACCTCAACAAATTTAACTATATTCAGCATTTTATTTACAATCAATATCAATCAAGCAATCTAAAATCAACCTAAAACGTTTTGTCAAGAAAAGTCTTTAATACTTTAATCTAATGATTTCAATAAATTTTCATAAATCATTGTTATTCTTACAAGATCATGACATTTAACAAAGCAATTTGTTTCCTGTATATAATACCTAGGTGAGTCCCAATACCATATCTTAAAAACTTTATTTTATTGATATTTCATGTTCAGTTCGGTATACGTTTTAACAGATTTTGGCTGTGCATTTCAGCTGACGGCTTAAAACGTATGGGAAAAAGTTAGAAATATATATATAATTTTTTCACCTCTACAGCCCATTACAACTATAACGAACAATGTTTTGCGTTCCAATTGTTAAGCTTTGATAGAGCCTGTAGCTACTTTCTCAAGGTGCATGTTCTCTGGGACCTATGCCGATGGTGGTCGCTACCTGTGAGGACTATTTTCCCAGTGCTCACCGGTGTTAAAATGATGAGGATTTTCGTTGTTAATAATTGTCAATAAGGTAACTATATTCCTCGGTCACGTTGTTGCCCGTTGTATATGTTTCCCAGAAATATGTAATCACCGTAATATTACCTATCGTGGTCGTTAAACCATTTATTATTATTGGTAGATTTCTGTGGATACGAAATGATGCTTTAACTATGATTTATGTGCATTTTTTTTATATAGGTTAACAAACATTAATATGTTGGTTTGAGTAAGTACAGTATATAGTCTAAGTGTAGGTAGTTTGAGTATATGTGGTCCACTTGTAAGCCTCTCAGATCTAGGCTTGTTGCGTAATGATTAATTCTATCTCTCTCTCTCTTTCTCTCTCTCTCTCTATCTATCTATCTATCTATCTATCTCTATCTATATTTATGCATGCATATGGGTGTGTGCCCATCTGTCTCAATCTGTTTAACTGTCTGTCTATCTATCTACCACTTCCTCTCCCATAAGCATTGTGGAACATAAGCACCGGGGAACATTGGCACCTTATGGATACTGAGGAACATCGGTAGCACACAGGCTCCGGGGAATGTCGGTACCGGAACATTAATACCCGTGATATCAGCTACCGGGGAAAAGCAAGATGACCCCATTTCTCCGAGTTGAAATAACCGGTGGACGCTACAAGGAAATCCAGAGTGTAGGCCTTGGTTAGTTTTTTTTTTTAACGTTTAATGGAAAGACAACGGATGACGGTGCCTATAAGACTAAACGCCAGCTCAGGCATTACACAAATGAGTCTGGCATTTCCACGAATAGTATTGCTTTATCTAGTTGTCCACCAAAACTCCCAATGCTGAAAAATATCGAGGAAGCAAATTCCCCGAATCTAACCCGAAAAAAAACCATTGTGGGGGCATTGGTAACCCATACATAACAGTGTGGTTAGTTTGTTACCATGTCACTTTTTCAGATTGTGTTTAATAGATACCCCCATTTATTTGTGTATTTCCTCATGCACAGGAGTCGCTATGGATTAAATGCCGATACCCCCATTTATCTGTGTATTTTCTGATGCACAAGAGTCGCTATGGATTAAATGCCGATACCCCCATTTATCCTGGTATTTTCTCATGCACAGGAGTCGCTATGGATTAAATGCCGATACCCCCATTTATCCGTGTATTTTCTCATGCACAGGAGTCGCTATGGATTAAATGGCGATAGGAACTTCTGACACACTGGCCGTTGCCTTTTGATAGAGAGACACACCACACTCAACACTGTACATAAAGTCACCAATACTCTTGGTTCGGACATTTTACGGTCCATTGTTCGCGAAAACTTCCTTCCTCTCACCTGAAAACACTGTCGGAATGATCGTCGACCAGCATCTAACTTCTAGTAAAGCATATCAGATCTATTAGTTATGTAAACCCGTAATAAACACGTTTATCTCACATGAGAAAGATATCTACAATCGTAAACGTATAAACTTCTTACGAAATCATCAATGCTTTGTCATTTTTTTCTCCGGATTTTTTTTTTCTTCTTCTAATAATGCGATAAATAGTGGATTGCTAGTTGGATGCGACGACATACTAGGATATCAAAGATCTATTTCTTTGGAAGTAGAATAAGTATTACCGATTTAGGATAGTTCTTACCAGGTGTCTAATGCATGCTTACCCCAGACATATTAGTATTCTCATCAAGTATCGGATAGGCCTAACAAAAATAGTGTTATCATCCTGGAACAAATTATTACACCTAGAAGAATTGCAATAATTGAGATAAGAATGGTAGTAAAAGAATAATGAAACAATAAGACAATAAACCGTATCTCCATTTCTATAAAAAAAAATGATGAAACAATAAGACAATAAACGGTATCTCCATATCTAAAAAATAATGATAATAATAATACATAACTTTTAATCACGTGTTTAATCATTGCGGGCTTCCTTTGATGACTTATAAAGATAAATATTCAATTCTCTGTCCGACATTCATCGGTTATCCTCTTTAGTGTATGTATGTATTCTTTTTTTCTTTATCACTGATATTATAATGTGATAAGAAGCTAAAGCTGTCATGATGAGAGTGCAGATAAAAACAGTCACGCGCACCACAAACAAGAAAACCTTACATTCACAGACGTTTTTTTCACCGGTACTGGACACATTTTCTTGAGTTGAAGGCCTGTCATATTCAGATTTGTTGACACATCTTGTATATACATATGTATATATATATATATATATATATATATATATATATATATATATATGTGTGTGTGTGTGTGTGTGTGTGTGTGTGTGTGTGTGTGTGTGTGTGTGCGTGTGTGCGTGTGTGTGTGTGTGTGTGTGTATATATATATATAT